AACTCCGATGCTATTTTGTGAACAGCTGTATAAAATGTTTAACAATTTTTGTATGTGAAACTGGCCGCGGCATAAAATGACATTCGTCCACAATACGGGCATACTGCGGCACTCAATAACGAACGACCTAGATTTTCGAAGCTCTCCTAGTGTTAAGATGGTTGTAAGTGCCATACATTAACATTAACTTCTGACTATAACTATCTAGCTCTAAGAGAGCTTCGAAAATCTAGGCCCTGGAGTCGTGGCCAGTATTGAACCTAAAGGTCTTCAGCAAGTATTGCTTGTCGTAAGAAGCGAATAACGGGATCGGGTGGTGAGGTTGATGCATGTCATCGTATTCCGCTTCCGTAGATCGATGCTCATGATGTCAATCACTGGATTGTCTGTCCAGACTTGATAATTTACAGACCCCGTATTACAGCTGGAATGTGATGGGTGGGGCCTCAATCAACAAAGAAATATCACTTTCTTATCTCAAACATCTAGTCGCCATCGTTTGCAGACAATCACCGACTATGAACTTATCTCTTTGGTGTTTTCAAAAGCTTCTACAACAAAATGCAATTATTTGCTGAATGCAGCATATTCACCTCACCCCACCTCATTTCGACTCGTCAACAGTAACAGCTTTGTCCTCGTGGTGTGCTGGTGGGGAGGGGGTGGGGTCGTGTCTCGTGTATCTGGCCATTTAGTGACAATAAAGTATTCATTATATACCACTCTACACCCTTGAAGCTGTTTCAGTGAAAATCAGATCAATTTACATAAAAAGAAGTAAGCGTTGTGGGCTAAAACGAACGTTTGAAACGTGGTGTGGGTAGAGAGAGTGTTGGTATTTTTTTCTCCGTTTTCAGAAGATTTAGCAGTTTCATGCCTGTGTATAGTCAAGTATAGGTTGATAACACGAACACCAGTGCGCGCCTTGAGGGAAAATGAGTAAGTTTAGTTTAAGCCACACTCAACAATATTCCAGCTATATGGCGGCGGTCCGTAAATAATCGGGTCTGGACCAGACAACCCAGTGATCAACAGCATGAGCATCGATCTACGCAATTGGGAACCGATGACATGTGTCAACCAAGTCAGCGAGCCTGACCACCCGATCCCGTTAGTCGCCTCTTTGGTTGGCACATGTCATCGGTTCCCAGTTGCGCAGATCGATGCTCATGCTGTTGATCACTGGATTGTCTGGTCCAGAGCGCCGCCATATAGCTGGAATATTGCTGAGTGCGGCGTAAAACTAAACTCACTCACTCCACTCCGCCAGCAGATTTTTTGTGTGTGTGCGCAGGTGTATGCGTGCGTGCGTGCGTATGTGTTTGAACGGCAAGTCGGTAGGGGTGGAGAAGCCTTTTCATTCTATTGTTGTAGAAGATCATCTTCATGCTCGTGGTGGATTTTAAGCTTGTGGTATAAGCGATCTATGAAAATAGGAATGTAAGGAAGATAAATGTTGTCAGCAATACGTCAAACTAAACCCTTGTTTATTAAACCCGTCAGTACTTTCTTCACACGAATTCTCTGCTATCCAGGCTACTTTACGACCCCGCCATTATTACACGGAACAACCGGGAAATAAAAAAAACGATAAAAATAGTTGGGATTGCCCTATCCGAATCTCTATCTTCTGAAACAGACAGCGTTTTCTAGTCGTGCTCACATACACGGTGTATCTAAACCACAATAATTCTTCTCTGATAATGGTTTTCAAAACAAATACTTTAAATAAATGTTCCGTGCATGGAGATTGGTTAATTGTGCTAAAGTGAATTAGTTAGTACGCTCCCGTTTGGCCTTGAAGTGGGACTATGCTCCAAAGCATGATAATTTTTTTCAGTATACGTTGCAGTTTTGTCGTGTGTTGAACGGAGACCTTGCTTTAACGTAAAATGTGTACTCATTAACTGTTATACAGAGACTCACACCCTCGTGTCTTTTGATAAACAATTTATCAACATTGAAGTCGATAAAAGTTTGAATCTCCGAGGACTGCCTTGTCGATAAAACTTTAGATCTCTGAGCCTTGCCTAGGCGATTTCAACTTTTATCGATAGGTGTTGCCAGGGAGTTTTAAACTTTTATCGACGAGTTTCGACACATTTCATTATATCTTATCAAAGGGGACGCGGCTTTGACTCTATTTTTATTATCTCAAATCATTCTTTCAACTTTCTCAATCAGTAAACTGTTATATCCTGAGTTTTGCATTGACAGCTAGTAAGCTTCAGCTGCAAAACATTAGCAATGTCGTTTGAATTTGACGTAATAATATCTGATGACGTAAACATATTTGATGACATCCAAATGATCTGCAAAGCAGTTAGATTCAAATACATTGTAGCTCAATCTCCCTCATTTCATCCAAGGGGCGACGGGGTGGCCCAGCGGTTAAAATGTTCGCTCCTCACCCATAGGCTCCGGGTTTGATTCCCAACATGGGCACAATGTGTGAAGCCGATTTCTGGTGTCTCCTGCCGTGATATTACTGGAATATTGCTAAAAGCGGCGTAAACCATACTCACTCACTCACCTCATCCTAGCGATATCCTCGACTGAATTCAATTTGGATTATAAAATATTGTCCTCACAAAATTATAATTCACAGACACTGAAGTATTGAACAGCCTGAATCAAAGTTGTATCTGTCTTTGATCAGTTTGCACGATATCCCACCCCTTTAAACCTGTTTTGTCACATTCGCAGGCCTTTTCATTCAAGTCATTCAAAACGCAATCTGATAATTGAAATATTCATGATTTAACGCAAAACAATCAACAGTTGGCGAGTAGCCTGACTGTAGAAACACTGTCTCAATTTCACATTGGGAGTTAATTACAACTTCAAGACATTGACTGGAAACTGATAAAGCACAGAGAGCATTGTCTTGTATCAGAGGTACAAGGTGCGTGCGGGGGTGTACATTTCTTTTTGCTGACACAGGCGGAGACTGGGAGGTTTTTGCTTTATTGGGTGTATAATATGACAACGTCGATGAAAGGACAGAACATTGTCTTATCATAAAGTTCAGCAGAATCTGAAACCTCTTGTTAACACGTCCGTATCTCTCCCATCTTCCAAATTCATGGCATTCCTGTGGAATTCAAACTTGTTCATTCGAGACCTCGTGATTCTCCCACCATGGGTACATTGATCTGGGACCTGATCCGAGTGAATTATGTCTCTAGGCGTGACTCATGTCTTACAGAACATCTTAACGTTCATACGGAGGTTATTGAGGGGAACGTGGTAGTAAATCTCACCCATCGCTCAATGAGATAGACTTGCGCAAGTCTCTAAATTATTATTTCTGAAAGATATGTACTGTCCGTTTATCTAGACTTGCCTCTTTAAAGGACAGAATTAGTATACATCCATAGGCTTAGGTGAGGTGAGGTGAAATTGGGTTTAACGTTGTGCTTGAGAATATTTCGCTCATATGACGACGTGCATGCGTGTGTATGTGTATGTGCGGCTGCTTGTACTAGCCCAGACTGAAGCTGGTTTCATAGTGCTAGCCCACTGAGATACCTTGCCGCAGTGAAGCATGAATACCCCACTCAGACACATTATACTGACTCCGGGCCGACCAGTCCTTGTTGTACCCATTAATGCCGAGCGCCAGGCAGGGACCAACAAGTACCATATTTTAACGTCTTTTGGTATGACGCGGTCGGGGATCGAACCCGCGACCTTCCGCTCTCCGGGCGGACGCTCTAACCACTACACCACGGAGGCGGTTCATAGGCTTATCATTCAGTACAGCCTTGGAGCAAGGGTAACTCTATGGTGAGTGAGTAAATGAGGTTTTACACCGCTTTTAGCAATATCCAGCACCGGAAATGGGCTTCACATATTGTACCCATGTGTGGGAATTGAACTCGGGACTTCGTCGTGACGAGCGAACGCTTTGACCGCTTGGCTAACCACCGCACCACTAACTCTACAGCTTAAGACAAACGTAAGATGGTGGTAATACTACGAACATTTGCATCGAGTAATTGGTATTGTCTCCGTAGAAACTATAGAAACACGCCAATAACCGTTCGTAGCAAAGTAACAACGTTTAACGGTATAGTAATGACGTCGACTAAAGACCTTCGTAGAAAGATTTGTAGATCGGAATTCTCTGTGTCTCTCCTCATTTGATTTACAACCTTTTAGACACTTCTATACGACAGCCTGTCAGCTGTGTAGGGTGTATTTTCCGTGTGTGGCAGGTTTACGCTAGATCTCATATTCTCTTTATCTCTGTCACCCGTTTCATTATTGTTATTTTGGTACAAGTTTCACTATCATCATAACACAGAAAACATATAAAGATTCGGGTTAGAAGTTATCTTCAATAGACACGATCCCGTTAGTGGCTTCTTTCGACTCATGCTCACTGACTTGGTTGACACATGTCTTCGTTTACCATTTGTGTAGATCCAGGCTGATGGTGTCAGTCACTAGATTGTCTGATCCAGGGTCGATTATTTACAGGCCGCCGCCATATAGATGGAATATTGCTGAGTGCAATAAAACAATAAACAAAATAGTATCTTATTAGTTTCTGAATGAAGACCAAATTTTATTGCCAGGATACGACCGCCTCCGTGGTTTAGTGGTTAGAGCGTCCGCCCGGAGAGCGGAAGGTCGCGGGTTCGATCCCCGGTCGCGTCATACCAAAAGACGTTAAAATATGGTACTTGTTGGTCCCTGTCTGGCGCTCGGCATTAATGGGTACAACAAGGACTGGTCGGCTCGGAGTCAGTATAATGTGTCTGAGTGGGGTATTCATGCTTCACTGTGGCATGGTATCTCAGTGGGCTAGCACTATAAAACCAGCTTCAGTCTGGGCTAGTACAAGCAGCCGCACATACACATACACACGCGTGCACGTCGTCATATGAGCAAAATACTCTCAAGCACGACGTTAAACCCAATTTCACCTCACCTCACCTATTGCCAGGATACTATTTCTACAATGTTGTTCATTGCCTATGTTTGTTCCTCAGGGGTGGTGCTGCCCGGGTGTGGGGCTCGGTCCTACCACGTGTACAGCGAGGACTGGCGGGAGAGGGAGTGTGGGAGAGTTCTCAGACGGGTACAGCACGACCATATCGAGGAGAACTTTCCTCCTAATCTGGTCGGAGAGTGGACATCATACAGGTAGGTCTCAACGGCTGCTTTCAGCTACCTGAGTGAGTGAGTGAGTTTAGTTTTACGCCGTAATCAGCAATATTCCAGCTATATGGCGGCGGTTTGTAAATAATCGAGTCTGGACCAGACAATCCAGAGATCAACAGCATGAGCATTTATCTACGTAATTGGGATATGATGACATGTGTCAACCAAGTCAGCGAGCCTGACCACCCAATCCCGTTAGTCGCCTCTTACGACAAGCATGGGTTACTGAAGATCAATTCTAACCCGGATTTTCACGGGTCTTCACGTGTGTCGAGTAGTTCATACAGGTAAGGAGGTTGGTGACAATTCAAAGCTGCGAGTTGTTTCAGGACCGAAGCGAGATTACAAGTGTATTTTATACAAATGTAGATTAGAGTTGATCGTATCCCAATTGCGTTGATCGATGCTTATGATGTTGGTCACTGGATTGTCACTATACCTTCATGGATTTTACGTTCTGGTGAACTTTAACAATATCAGATATTTTACAAAGTTACTTATCATAAATATGTATGTTTGTATCGACAATACTCAGTCTGGTTTTTCGTTCTAACGGTCACCAATACAGATGTGTACAACATAATCACGTAGCCCTTACCATTTACGTTACATATTTACATAATTATGAAACCCCTTTTATCACAAGCAATATTGTGCTACAGCATTGCCTTGTCCATTTCCTCGAGCTATGTAACAGGGAAGTGTCAATCACTGTTGACAGTTTGCAGCTATGTATATCACGCTGTTGTCACATGCCAGCGACAAAACAATGACGTGCTTATGGTCAACTGCTAAAAAGCTAACGTGGACACCAATGACGTGCTGATGGTCACTTGTGATAAAGTTAACGCGACGTTAACCGCAGGTCAAACTACCTCTGCCCATTGTCCCCCCTTTCGATAATGACCGCTGGGTACATGTTTCGTTTGACAGGATGGTGTTGAAAGGTGTATCTAATGCTGTTTGGGCCCCAATCGCTGAACGAATGTTTAGACCATGACTAGTTTCAATGCAATGTCGGTGTGGTCTTTGTGTCTATGAGTCATCTAAGTGTATACAGCTTTCGGACAACTGAAATCACTGCATTTTCATTGAGTTTGATCGCTGGGGTCTGTGATTTATATATTGTAGACTTGCTTTGTACTAGTTTTGTCTTCGTTACCACCAACTACCGTCTAGTCAGAGTGAGTGAGTGAGTATGGTTTTACGCCGCTTTTAGCAAATATCCAGCAGCATCAGGGCAGAAACACCAGAAATAAGCTTCACACATTGTACCCATGTGGGGAATTGAACCCGGGTCTTATTCGTGACTAGCGAACGCTTAACCACTCGGCTACCCCACCGCCCCTCTAGTCAGAGTCCTTTGAACATCCGTCCAATCGATTTCCCTTGTCTTTTGATCGCTGCCCAAGAAATCTGTTCCGACGGATAATCTGGACATGCTTACTTTGGGTACAATGAGTGAAGCGTTAAACCAGTCACTCACTCACTAAACCCGCCCGCTGACGCACTCACTCATTCATTCACAACTAACTCACTCATTCAACCGCCCGCACACTCTCTCACTCACTCACTCACTCACTCACTCATCCACAAACCCACCCACTCACTAACTCATTCACTCACTCACTCGTAGAAACCATCAAAGTTGTGGTGCTGAAGATTAGCCCTGTAGATAAATCGTTCGCTTGTCAAGCCAACGGTAAGGGTTCGATTCCCGACATGGGTACAAGAGGTGAAGTCCATTCTGCAAAAAAATAACTGAATAAAACCATACACTCAAATTAACTCTACTTTGAAGTAATCGTAACACACTCGCACCCATACCCTTCAATCTAAATGCTGATAAACAACCTCCACCCCACGTCACTGTTTGAAACCAAGCTTCCTGCCGCTCGGGATTCACACCCTGGCGTAACTATGCTCCTGTCTTTGACGAACCGTTATCAGAAGGGCTGCCGCACACGTTCTTAGAACGGAAAACAAACATGTAACAAACCGTCGGGCTGACTGGGGCTGGTTGGGTGCTGTTTTGAAACAATCAGCTGCTTTAAATGACCGTTTAATCTTGTCGGGGTTAGACAGATATCAAAGATAGCCTTTTAACTGAGCCGAAATATGCATTAATCATTCACGAACCTTCCAGATGTTCCAAGACGTTGTGATGTACCGTTAAACCGGCGTAAAGGGGAAATGGCTTGGGTTTACATTCAAGGTGTTTTAGCGGTTCTGTGGTGTTGGTGGCCTCGGCGTTTTCAAGCCCGCTTGATAATGCTAACCAACGGTTAGAATGATTTGCCACCCTAAGCCCTGTGATATATGTCCTTAGAGACAAATATTTGCCCGCTTTCATTGACGGGCAGTCTTGAGTAAAGATTTTCTTTTCAGATCTTGTAATCTAGATGCAAACATAGCAATTGGTACAAGCCTTTGGGAGACTTTTTATAGACTGCGGTAAGTTCAGTAGAAACTTTTATCTACGGTTTTGGCTGTCCCCACCTGGAAAATTTAAATGCATTTTAGGAAGGTGGCTTTTAAACTCATAAGAAAAACGGCTGCAGAAAAACTGGCATGAATAATCAAATAGAACAAAAACAAAAAATGATAATAATAGATTGTCATTGAGAAGCTACAATTCTTTTTAAAATCAGATTATCTAAACACATACTATTATCCTGTAATAAAACCCTGTTGCTGGAATATTACTATTGCTGGAATATTACTGGGTGCGGCGTTAAACAACAAACAAACAAGTGTATAAATCTCGATTAGATGTTGCAAGACTCTAGCCTTTGTTGTTTATTCTTCAAGTCCATGGTCAATCCAGTAATTTTGTAGTTGCATTTCTGAAATTCTTTATTGTCAATGTCCGTTGAGTTGTAATTGTTAACATACCGAAGATCTGCCTGCTTTTTACTTGAATGTTCGTGTCATGTGTCGGCAGCATTTCTAAGATTTGAGCAAACGGATTACTGGTAAAATCCGATCTATCTGCTCCCACAGTCGTTTAGCCCACTGAATACAAAAATTACGCAACTTACAAACATTACCAAAATACTGAAGTCCGCTAAATAAACATCCCACACCCTTCTATTTCAATACGTCACGAATTTATTCCTATTATTTGCTGGTGGTCCAATGCAAGGACAACAACTCCCACGGGGACTATTTGCCCTTATAACATCTAGAGAAACAGTAAGTGGCCAAATGATTGTTTTTCTGTGGCCCTCTGTGACCATTCTCGTTCCAGTATCCCCTCTTGAATACAAACTACCACCTGAAGAAACACGGCGTTGTCGGGACTCTCGGGGTTTGTTAGTAATAGACTTTAGAGTGGTACATTGTACAGGTCATTTCAAGCAGGATATTAAATAATAGATTAACAAAGAAATAAATCACCGCACATTGTCCTTTGACACCTGCTCGTGTTGTCGGGGATAAGTATACAATGCACGGTTTAGGGAAGGGCCTTCTTACAGCCTTCTTACAGTTTTCAAATTTTAACACCTGGTGTCATCCATTCATGTTCAATTTATCCATTCATATGAATTTCCCCGTATCCATTACAAATTTCCCCGTATATAAATTTCCCCGTATCCATTCATATAAATTTCCCCGTATCCATTCATATAAATTTCCCCGTATCCATTCATATAAATTTCCCCGTATCCATTCATATAAATTCCCCGTATCCATTCATATAAATTTCCCCATATCCATTCATATAAATTTCCCCGTATCCATTCATATAAATTTCCCCGTATCCATTCATATAAATTCCCCGTATCCATTCATATAAATTTCACCGTATCCATTCATATGAATTTCTCCATATCCATTCTTATAAATTTCCCTGTATCCATTCATATAAATTTCCCCATATCCATTCATATAAATTTCCCCGTATCCATTCATACAAATTCCCCCGTATCCATTCATACAAATTTCCCCGCCATTTTGCTTTAACATTTTATACCCAATAGCAATGTTTTACTAGATTCGTTGGCCTTGACGTTGTATATTTACGTATTTGGAATTCGACATAAAATGTGATTGTGTCTATCAAAAGCAGTGATAAGTAAGTAATGTTTCATTGTAAATTTCAGTTAAGCATGCCAAAACACAAACCACGGATCTCCAAATTTCGAATAAATATTTGTAGTAAATATAACATTTTATACCTTTTCATCATTTTGTGTGTGTCGGAAATTAAAGAATAAAGGTCGCCCTCAAACAAAACTTTATAAATATCACTTAATCAACAGGTATATTTTTGGTCGTCTTGAAAAGTTTGTTTGTCAATTAATTTGCATAGTATATGCATATTATATAGTTAATTTGTTGTTTTGTATCACCCTGGCTCTGAGTATAAAGAACTAAAGATACTATATAATTAAATAGTTTTATATGGATATGTTTGTAGTGTTCTTCGCTGGTTAAAATTTGCTCTCATGTTTTAAAATGTAATCGTTCATCCCTCAGCTTCAGCTATTTCACGAACAATATAATGTTTTCCATGGTTGTTTTATAGACTAGGTTATATTCGTGTGTCCTTGTTATCAAGATATACAACCTTACATACAACCTTACAACCCGTGCAGATCCGGGTTAGAATGAACCTTCAGTAATCCATGCTTGTCGTAAGAGGCGACTAACGGGATCGGGTGGTCAGACTGGCTGACTTGGTTGACACATGTCATCGGTTCCCAATTGCGCAGATCGATGCTCATGTTGTTGATCACTGGATTGTCCGGTCCAGACTCGATTATTTACAGACCGCCGCCATAGAGCTGGCATATTGCTGAGTGCGGCGTACAACTAAACTCACTCACACTACAACCTTACATATATACTGAGGGGGGAAATAAGGGATCACATGAAAGCACACGTGTTAACTTTATTTTTTCCAGGTTTCTTCTCAAGTTGTGCGATACAAAACTTGTGAAGAAACCTGGGAAAAGTAAAGGAACACTTGTGCTTTC